AGTATTGTGAAATATTATTTGAGCTTTTTCGGATTCGCAGTTTACTTTGAAAATGGTTTCTGAAATTACTCCCCTAGATGAAACGGTGACCCCCAGGATAACACCACGGGAAGCAGCTGAGTCGACAAGTCCTAGGAAGGACGAAATAGGGGCCCCAAAACTGGCTTACAAATAGTCGACCTACATACCTGAGGCGAACGGCGAGGTGTTATGAAAGCTGTAGAGGTTGTACCATTCTCACCGGGACCCACACCTTGCACGCAGGCAGTTTACCTCAGCCAGGTGTATGCAGTGCCGCGCATAGTTGAACATCTTGTCCAATATACCCCTCCTACGTAGCTTTTATAGTCACATTCGCGTCCAACCCCTAATTTTGCCCCTTTTTCAAAACCTTATGTTTCCCTTTATACGCCGATTCTCGCGCTTTCTTCGCCACTTTTGCACTATTCTGGACTATCACTCCATTACTAGTTTGAAATTTGGTACCCCAAAATCATCATGAACTTTGCCTTCGATGTGCTCCCGTCAAAGACAATAGGAACAACTTGAGTGAAGCGATTTACTTTCGTGGGTATTACGTGAGCCAATACAATGTACTCGATATATTTCGGTATTTCTGATAATTGTTGAGTAACCTACATCTCTCAGACTATTCATTTAAACTGTCTCAAAGGGATACTAACCGTTCCTTTCCAGCTTTTCTTCCACCCCTGCGGTGTTCATTACGGATAGAAACATGTGCCAACTGTGTTCTGAACATAAAACATCGACCGCCGTCGGAATTTTTCAACGAGCACGAAGTCCGAACGGTAATTTTTTATAAACTAGATACTCTTCATTGGGCATGGTCTAGTGGTTTTGACCCTTCTTTAGTTTCTCCATCCATTGTCAGCAACAGAAACTAAAATTCAGTCCGGCACTCGGCTCTTACAATAACCCCCTGGCTTACCCCACCACGCACCCTCGTCCTTGCCCAATGCCCCTTTTCGACGCGTCCTATATGTGACGGGTAAAAATTTGCGTATTAACACGTGCCGGATTACTGTAAGAGCCGAGTGCCGGATTGAATTTTCGTTTCTGTTTGTCAGCAAGGTTGAGAAGTGTGTAAAAGTTTGTCGCAGTCGCTGAATTAATGATACGTCATCGCCATGAAGATATTCGTGGAAAGGTAGATACTTGTGTTCGAGAATAGAAGCTGTTAGAATAGAACCAAGCTCGCATTTCAATCGTCAGTTTGAATAAAACCAGGTTATTTGAGCTTATCATGGGGGACTACGGTAGGCCTTAACATTATCACCGCGACATTTGTAAGTTCTGAATTATTCTGGCTAGGGCGAAATAAAAGTCACTGAAACACCTTGACAACCGAAACTTTTCGGAGCGGTGTGTGCCTGCTCGGAGTTACGATTGGCTAAGTTACAAACACATCCTAGTAACCTAATTAATTGTGATCTTAAGGACTCTTTTATTTGGGATATTTAGAAACGACTTACTATGAAACATCGCCTCGCAGCTGCCTCACTGCATCTTCCCCATAGATGAAAACTCCAGTGCATTTCACATATTTCTTATTTCTTGACTGAGGTGAGAAATGGCGAAATCGAGCACTTTTGCGAGAGCGTAGCACACAATTACGGTCTCCACTTGATCGGTACCCTTTTCGGAGGCTCTAGAGGTCGTCCGGTCCCGTATTGTTCGTCTGCTACAATTACTACAAGGGCATATAAATTGCGAGCAAGAATCAACTGGTGAGAGGGTTCGAAAAAAAGGGGGCAACTGCTCTTCTAAGATTTGTAAGGACGCTCAGGTATTGAATAAAAGTCAAATAGGCTTTGAGAATCATGTTTCTGACAACTGCTAGTCACCGATCTTCTCAGGCTGTGAATTCTAATAAGGGAACCCTCTGTTTTTTTTTTNTTTTTTTTTGATACTGTATCTCGAATAGACGGAAGATTTGATTCGGTTTCAGCTGCCTACGTGCTACGAGTCGCTTGTGGATCCATGTTTCGATTTACGATTCCTTGAGGAAAAGGCGGATTCGGCACTGAATTTGATTTATAGGAAATCGTCAATATGGGAATTCCCACAGCGGTATCTTCTTTAAGAATGTTTTTGATCTTCTACAAGGTGCTAAATGACCAAATCTTACTACTTACTAGGTCTTACCGACCGCAATGAGGTTGAAGTTAGAGGCGGTGTTTTGTGAATATACCAATTGTAGATTAACGATAAAATTCGTGGCGGCCTCATCTGCGGCTGAGACTTGTTGTAGTAGCCGGAATCTTCGACTGTGTGGCGGAAAGAGAACAAAAACCAAGTCCGCATCGTACAGTAGCGCCCTTCATAGTCAACGCGCCCACGTACCGTTCATGCTCTTTCCTGATTACCTTCTGTACGCCCGCAAAACTTTCGTGTTTGTGATGAAGGTTGTGTTATGGAAAACTCACCCACTGAAGTAGCAACAGTTAAGCTAGAAAGGTAGTGCACTTCACACACGCATGGTCACGGGTTAAGATCCCGGCTCGATATCCGTTTAGGCCATCCATCCCTCCTGGGTCGGTGAATTGGTACCAGACTCGTCTGGGAGGATAAAAACACTGATGTATACACTGGTTGGCCACCGCAAGTCATTGTATAGGCCACACACGCATTCAGTACGCCTCTACGATTCTGAATAGAAGACAAATGCGTGGGCGCATCCCTCAGACGGGATTGATTAACGCAAAAAACTTTATCCTTTATCCTTTTATTAACTTTAGTGACATTGCTCCCAACGTTTGTGGTTATCAGGTTAGGGAATTCATACAACCACATCCAATTCCGTGTGCCATCGCGACTGCGCCTTACAGTATATGTATACTACGGCACTGCATAAAGCACACTTTACGTGAATTTTTGACTTGCATTTAAAAGTCAATTACAGGGCTGAGTTGAATAGCTCAGGAGATTCTATCGTTCTATTGCTCACTATGTGGAACATTGATCAAAATTCAACGCTCAGGCAGTACATCGAGGTATTCCATGTTTCTTTCTAAACTGTAGTTCTAAACAGTAACGGGAGTGATGGAGAATTCCCGAGTATTTCACAATAGGCATTCTTTTCTATCCGCAAGCTTATAGGAAAACAAAAACCATTAAATGTATCACCTGTCGTCTGCTTGATCATCGATTTCCTCTAGCCAGTAGGGTCTCCATTTGGCACGGGGCAGAATCGTACAACAGTTCAGGAACCATTAGGGTGAATGGAGACGTCTTCTTTCGAGGGACACAGCGGGCATTCCTTCCGTTCAGAACTTTCGTAAATTTGTCGCTGGCGGTCGTTCTGGCGTTCGTTGGACGTTCCGAGAGATCTAGTCAGTAAACGCCCTTATGCAACGGTCGTAACAATATCGTACGACGTGTTCGACCCACTTAATCTTCAATTTCGCATGTGTAAATCGTCCCTGTTCTTCGGAGCTCGGATCTCCAATTCCTCGTGCACTCGCGTGAATCGGGAAATTCCAAGCATGTCCTTTCCACAACGCGTTCAATGACGCTGACTGCATGTCCATCCTGCTATCGTACAGTCCGATTCTCCGAGGCGTATTCTAAAGCGGATAGGACGTTAATGTCAAAACGGGAAAGGAGGGATCTGAATATCCTTTTTTGTCATTAACACGTAGACAGTCTCAAATGCTGCTCACGTCAAGCGTTCTCGTCTGATCAGCTCCAGAGCTGACGTTCATCATGTTCACTTCTTGACCAAATATAAGTAACAAGAGCATTCAAGAGCTTCTCTCATTTCCTCTCATTCAAGAGCTAGACATCATCTTCGTTAAGTTCAGTACTGAACCAATGTTTTCACAAGATCTCTCGAACACGATCAGTATTCCTCCTGCCGATGTTGTCTGCAAAGCGGAAATGATGTAAGCGACAGTCGTTCTTCACTTCTGAATGCTTCTATTCTAAATGACGTGTGGTGCTAATGAGAGCGGCACTGAAATGTTTGACTAGATGGTATCGCCTAGCTGAACCCCTTTTCCCATGTCGACAATTCTTTTCTGGTTGGATGGCGCAGTCATGGTCGTTAACTTGCTATGGAGCTTACGAAGCACCCGCATATATTGATTAGGAACTCAGCCCAAGGCTTCAGTTTCCGCTTCTGTCTCTAGGTATCAAAGACTTTTTACAAATCGATGAACGTAAGGCATCTTGTAATCTCGTGATACTTCAATGAGTCTTCGCTCAGTTGGATGTGATCGAATGCACTGAATTCTATCCAAACCCTGGTAGCAACGAATGACTTTCCTTCGTCTGGTATTCTGCCAAGTCTGCAAAAGGCACAATCCACTGTAATTCTGGGGTTTCTATTTTTAGTGGAATAATGGAAGTGATAAATCACAATAGAGCAAAAGAGGCCGAAAAAACACGAAAATCGGCGCATTTGCATTTCCAGTAGCATAAGGGTACAAGGAGAAGTAAAATCAGGCGTCGGACGAGAATGTGACGACGGAAGTTGCATGGAAGGGGTTTTGGACGAGCTATTCAAATGTGCCGCCATTGCATACAACTGACTGTAATAAGGTGATTGCATGCAAAGTGTGAGACGCGGTGTGAATGGTGCAATCTCTACGCCTCTACAAGTCCGTTGGAACTCGTCCCCTTCAGGTACCTACATCGACTAGACCGTGAAGGCCCTACTGCTTTCTAACTAAGCTTTTTTCGATCCTACATCTCGATTTTCTTTCCATTCACCATCATGAGTTCTAGCCTTTGGAGTTACTGGTTCATTCAGAAGGGGAATCTCAAAACATTTTATCGTAGACGGCAACTTTCATAGAACTCCATCAATAAACTTCTGAAGTCCTATGTTTTTCACTGCTGTAGAGGATTTGCATAACAAGAGGGAGCCAGTTATCCAGAAGCATAGCTGAGTGTATAAAAATAATAAAGTGTGATTATCACAAAAACATGTACATCTGCTTTCTGTATCTGTTTAGGTATTCTTTCCTTTCACCATCATGAGTGTCTCCACCGATGTAGTCGTGAAAGGATATCCATCGGATAATCTTCTCGCACCAAATCAATCCTCGATCGGATTCATCGAGTCTCCTAGGTCAGCTCTCATTAGCAATGTTGAACATGCAGTTGTTATCTTAACTTTCCTAAAACTGAAGACAGTTATGTTCTTTTTTGCTTTTCTTCTGTTTCACGATCCTTATCGGCGATTANAGGATATCCATCGGATAATCTTCTCGCACCAAATCAGTCCTCGATCGGATTCATCGAGTCTCCCAGGTCAGCTCTCTCAACGTTGAAGATGCAGTTGTTATCTTAACTTTCCTAAAACTGAAGACAGTTATGTTCTTTTTTGCTTTTCTTCTGTTTCACGATCCTTATCGGCGATTAAGCCGGCAAAAAGCAATCAGACCACTATAGGCTCATTCAACCTGGGACTGGAAATTATTCAGACCCCTTTCTGAATTCTGCACCCCCTCGAAACACTCAGTTCCCTCGAAATAAGGACGAGCTGCAGGTAGCCCAGATATCGTATATCTATCATCTCTTTGATGGCTGACAGCGAACAATGTCCTTTTTTGGAGTTTACTAATACTGGAGTAATTTACTGAAACATTGCCATACGTCTTTTCTTTGAGTTGTACTGTAAACAGCCAATAATGACGATCCAACGATCCCTCGTTGAGCCTACCATTATGTAGGCTCAACTGGATCCTCCATGTATTCGATCGCTTATTCCTGAAGAATGCGTCATGAACGAATAAATGAGCATTCCTGAGATTAGCCAATGGAATCGGCACTTACACTGGCCAATTTCAGAAATGCTAACTCATTTATTCATGAGGAATTTTCGAGGCATAAGCGATCGCCTACATAGACAATCTCGTTGGACCTACATACTTGGTCATTGACCGATAAAACTTGAAGTACTCTTTCAGGTATCCAGATGCATATCCTCGAGCATTGCAAAAGAAGTACACCCTTATAAATATGAAGGAAAACGGCTACGTCCGGCTAGTGTTTGACGATTTCAACGTGCACTTTCAAAGTGAAATGCAGGTGAGTTGACCTCACCCAGAAAAGGAAAGAACTTCAAGAAACTTGCATGGAAATCAATCAAGCCGCCTAGAATTATTTCGGGCAGATTGTTGCCTACAGTCTTGGTTTTTGTGTTTCTACCTATGCTCTACCCTATTCATGCTTTTCGATGTGGCACATTCAGTCAGAACTGTGGCAAGAATAGAGTCTCTCACTGAATTGAGACTGTTACTCAAGCTCCTGAATGCTCGTCCATACTAAGAACCTCTGTTACTTATTGATCAGTGCTACTCATGAGGTGGCTGCTGAAACGTGAACTTTCTCGCTGTTGGCCTGCTTTATGTACCTCTTTGTGACTTGATGAACAATATCATCTGAAGGTGTAGTCCAATGCTCGCGTGATGGCGTTTTCATGTCATTTGTGACGACAGGTACGCAACGCGTTCTTTGTTGTGATGCTATGCTAATGTGCGTGGCTCAATCGGTGCCTAAAACGCTGTGTTTTCTTCCTTCAATCAAAGAACTGTGGCACTATAGGTTCTGTACCATGGTGAACGAGCGGTTAGTAACAAAAGTTCTGCATATCATAAGTCCAATTGGTTGGCGCAGGAGTCTCTGGAGTGGAACTCTCGAGAGCTTGGCAGATCCTAAGGCTCGCATCTTTTATATGAACATTTCCTGAGAGGCAAAATATTTCAGTGAACGAGTTTCTATGTAGATGCGTTTCTTAAACTGCAAACTACCGAAAATTGAGATTATTAAAGTCGCTGAACGGAAAGTTATCGCTGCTCTTTAACAAGCTACATTCGAAGTTACATAGTATAGCTAAGTGGGATGCCAAGAATTCTAAAATATCGATCTGAAGCTTTATTTGGCTAGGACTAAATTTTCATCAGTCACGTCCTACTCGTTTTATGCCAACGCCGTATATTTCAGATCGTTGATAGCGATGATCGTGTGTTGCTAAATACAAAGAGGGAGAACCGTCGACCGCCAGCAATAATTTCAAGTGGAAATAGTCTATTTCTCTACTTCAAAGCGCATGACTTTACACGAACGGTGTGTTTTTTTTTCAGCTCGATCTGTGCTTCAAGCTTTATGTGGCTCTGAAAGACTCGTCACTTCAGGTGATCCAGAAGAAAATTTTCAGATATTCCAATTTGCTTCGTATTAGAGCGATATTTTTCTTAGAAGAATTACGAAGGCGCAGTATCTCGGAAATATTGAGATACCCTTTGAAAAAATTGTATCGTCAGAATCCTAAGAATAAGAACTATCTGACAACAGCAAAGCCCGTAAACTACATATACTTAGCCGCACCGAGGCCATACAATGTTTGGCGCAGCTAAAACTTACGGGAAACCTAATTTCTGGAATGTTGCTCTGTCTTATGACCTTCAATCCCTGCATATAAAGTTCTCACATGGAGAAAATAAGTTCAAACTAAGTTCTTCAGCCTTCAGGTTGGCTTCCGGGCTCGCTATGAATTTGTTGATGAAAGGGAATGGTCGGATAAGCCAAACGCTAGAGGTTCGTCAGTAACGCACGAAGTGGTGAGATCACTGTATGTTCTGTGATTTTCAGACTGCGATGATTTCCTTGAGGGATATGGTGGAGAAATTAAACTGGACGGCAACCAGGAGTTGATCAATACATATGTGGACTGCATCTGGATCATAGGGCGATTTCCACATATGGCCAGAACGTTCGATAGAATATATCTGAAGGTGAGTTTTGATGCTGAAACAATGGAGACAATTCATTCGTTCATACCTAGTACCCCTCAAGTAGAAATGTAGTACTCATTGCCACCTGGCACTGACGTAGTGTGTCCAAACACTCCTTTCACGGTAGCATGAAAGTTTTGGTAGTATAAGTTAGTGGTTGCTGTAGAATTTGAATACAGCAATGGTGAATTATTTATTTATTTATTTGTGCATTCAATTACACTTCACGGATAAGCAAAAAAAGAAGTTAGAAATTAGAAATAAGAGTCTCATCTTGCCTATGAAGCTTTAAACCAGAGTAGTCTTGAGATAACCAGAAAGAGTAGCAAGTTGAGACATCAATGGAAAAAAGAGAGGATTTAGGGCATTCCATTGTGAGAACGATAAGGTTGTTCTCCCACGTCAAGCAGATGAGAGGTCCTCCTGCAAGATCCTTTTCCTTGGTCTAGAACAAAGAGACAGAATGACCGAGGCTTGCTGACAACTGAGTCCTCTGAACGTATCCGTCTGGAACCTTGTGCAAGCAGACCAGGTGGGACCTCAAATGAAGGACTCTTCAAACCGAAGAATCTTGAAACAACTATAACTCACAACGCCGCGAGGCTGTCCGGAAGAGACTAATGGTTATGTGAGGTGCAGTTCTCCTAACCCAAACCTTGTGTGAACGGAATTTCAGAAAACGGTTTCGGTTCTCATAATCTCACCTTACTGTCTCGCATTATTCGAGCATCGTTCCCCGCATACTCCATCTTCTTTGCTCGGTGGCACGTTTCCATCGTGCCCTTGTTTTGCGCTTTCCTTATATTTTCTTGCCAATGTTATAAAATGATGCTTACAATTCGTTGAATATTCGTAGTCTACTCGTTCAGGTTGAGGAATTCCACATGAAGGGAGTCGGACTGCGCCTGGAGATCCGCGCGGGCCCATCGTCGACGTCGGATCGCCTGCTGCTTTTGCTTGATTCGCAAACACACGATCAAGTTCAGCATAAACAGCCCAGGTGTGTGCACCGACCGGAAACGCTTCTCTCGAGTTGAATGAGAATCTAGAATCAAGAGATTACAGGCATGGCTTCGCGACGACTTCATCTGCCTTCTATATACGGCTTCGAGGATACCTCATGGGAACGTAAGTGATTGAAAATTCGTTCCTAAAAAGCCGCAAAATATCTTTCCTTCAAAGCATCAGTACCCTTACAACTTCTGCAATCTTGTATTTAGGAACCTCATTAAGAGCATTCCATCTTCATTCATTCATTAACTAACCGGTGTACAGGATCTTTCAATTTCCTATTCAACTTACTTGAAACTTTGTGAAGGTTACACTCTTTGGCTTGACTTACTATTGTGCATCAGCCATTTGTTATAGCAATGGTTTGGAAATCGTTTACTCGCAATTTTATCGCTGGGCCACTGCTCTATGTCCGGGCATCGGCGAATTTCACTGTGACAACGCACGTTGCATAAAGGTTTGTTTCCTTCGAATCACCCATAGGTACGCATTAATCAACTTTTATTGTAACATGTGCTATGCAGTCGTCTTCAAGAAAGTTGAAGGAAAGGTTCGTGTTCATGATACTCGTCTTCTTGACTTCGCCTACAGAGTCCAAGCATGTAGGCGAAGTCAAGAAGAAGACCAAGACAAGACCAAGACGAGGCCAAATTGTTGAATTGGACCTGAGGAGTTCAAATATGATGGTGGGTCGCGCGGCAGCATGGGATGATAGATGGCCGACTGGGCTTAACCCACAGGGGTGGGGGTGTGCAAAAATTGTCAATTTGGAGCTAGAGCGTTCATGTTTGGTATGAGGCCAGGCAGAATCCAGACACTGATGGCTTCGGTTCAACCTGAGAAGAACAAGTTCCTCAGATCCGAAGAGTGGGGGAATCCCTCTCCCTAGATCTGGGGAACTCGAAGGAATGCATCGAAAGTGTATAAGACTTCCGATATTTGAGGCGTGCGAGGTGGCGAGGTGTGATCAAGAAGAACTCGCCGAGTCCAGCCCAAGCAGCAAATGCCACGATAGAAGGAATTGGAGGCAGTTGACGAGACCATGCGACGCCACAGGATTAGCGTCAGAGCGAATAAGAAGAAGGTAGGAGGTGAAGTTGACTGAAGTGGGTCTCATCCGCGGGTCTCGTAAGGGAACGGAGAGAGCAGAGAGCGCGTGAAATAAGCGTAATCTTGTAATCTAGCGTAAAAAAATATGCACTCAAGTGTGAATAAGTGAGGAATGAACCAAGTTACTTAAATACACATTACTTGAACAGGACTTTGCTCTTGACGGACGGGGCGTACACGAAGTGTGTCGGTACATGTATGTATGTTTCATGGAATTTCATAAGATCTGTTTTCTTGGACCGGAGCGTCCAATTTGGAAGAGTGCAGGCAACGGATCAAATTTGGAATGAAAATGAGAAGAGCCGAGCGATCAGCTACTGGTGTAACATACAACATTCTGAAGATTAAAACTTATGCCTTCTTAGAAAAAAAGAACGCGGAGTTGTTGGTAGCTATTGCGACCTTGCATTGCAGAATAGCTACTGAATCAGACCTGTTCTGTGAAAGTCAGAATGTACCCAGATCCGTCCATTCCCTGAACGACTTCGTGTAACCTTGAGATGAGTCTAATTCATGGGAGATGATCGAGTGGCATGGGAATTGCTCCTATTCTCTTTTCAAGTAGCTCCTTTTCCTTATTTTAGAGAAACATTGGGTTGTATAGGGATTTCGCGATCGCTAGCGACACCTCCAAGGTAAGACCCAGTGGAAAGGAAGATTGCGCAAGCAAGTGGCCTACTGTAGAAGGAAGTAGCCTTTTCAAATATGCTATAGAATCAATCGTTCGAAGTTGCTTGTCATTGACATGCACAAGTTTTTTCTTCTTTGTTTATAAATTCTTCACACTATCTCATAATAGAATGTGATGCTTTGGCTAGCCCCTCCATGTACGAAGAATGCTTAATTCAGGCGACGTTGCGTTGTGATGGTATCAATCACTGTGGTGATGGCAGCGACGAACATTGCCAGCGGCCAATTTCTGACTTTAAAGAGCCGTAAGCTTTGAATACTTGTTTTTCTTGACTCTTACTTTCCATCCTGAGACACTGCCTCTTAATAAGATTCTTCCAAATTTGGATATACTCGAATTTGTTCAAGACATGTCTCAGATGTGAATTGGTGGCATAGTTAGCTAACATAAAATCTTCCATATACTAGACTGATCCGAGAACAGGTTAAGAAAAGTGGTACATAGGTAGATGCACTAGATTCAAAAGAGGAACAAAGTGCAGCGATTGGTCTTCAATGTGATGATAATTTCTCTTACTTTCTTCTCTTCTCTTCTTTCTTCGAACTTTCCGAGAGCACTAAAAATGTTGCCTCACGAGTTGTCCAAAGACGTAATACTCGTCGAGGCTAGCAGTGAATTATGAAGTTTATTGATAGAACGCCTGAATTTTACTTCAGGGAAAGTTCACTCGTTGTTGTTGAAGCTTCCAGCACCACCGTGTCCACGCAAGATCATCGTCACATAAGCTTCCATTCTTTTTTCTAGTATTTGATTTTCACTAAACCGTGGACGTCCTTGAGAGATCAAGAAATTTCTAGTGTCATTTCGAAATGTTTAAATAGAAAGCATGCCATTCCCTGGATCTCCATTCTCAAAACTCTACGACGGTCACGCTTATTCTTGGTAAGTGAGAAACGAAGTAGGCTTTAGAACTGGAGCGTTCTAAGCCGCAGGGCACATAAGTGGAAAAAAGCATTTGTAGAACAGTCTTCGCCTCAAAATGTAACCAGGGCCGTCTTCGGATGCACGAAATCCTCTTCACTGACGAGGAAGTTCACCGCGTGACAAAATGTCATCCTATCAGTCCTCAATTCAGTACGCTTCTTTTAATTCAGCCATGTACGCGATACGAAAGTCTCTCAAGGATGTCGAAATATGCAAACCCTCGGTCTGGACTGTTCGCAAACCCGCACTTGTGCTTTCCGGACACCCTGCTCTTGTTCCCTTGCACTACCGCTCTCACTTTCCATTTTTAAGAGACGAATTATTGCTTTCTGAGGTACCACATGTTTGTCTAGTGATGCTGATATATCCGGTCTTTTGGCGCTGGTGATTGGTGTTTGTGGCCTCATTTTACTGATAATTTCGACAACAGCTGTCATGGGTCGATTCTATCGTCGACGGCTCACTGCACAATCAGGCGGTACCGATCTACCCGGAAGTACGTGGTTTACCTAGATTAATTGAAGTGATGTTTACAGATCAGCTGATTGAGTAAGGGAATTGCAGTTGAGGTAACAAAAGGGTAACCTTTTCAGCAGCGTCTTATCCGCCCGACTCGACGGCGCCCTCGATACAGACAGTGGGCGAAAGACGGTTTTACGTAGTCCCTGAAAGTCAAATATCGGTAATCGAAGCTCCGCCTTCCTACGATGACGCTCTCAAGCATCCGCCGGTAAGAGATTGGTAATGATGAGAAAATGTAAGAACTATGAATGTGACAACTTCTATGTTGATTCCTCAGGTATCATCATCGCGTGGATCGGCCTTCCTCAATAGGGCGTTCGTCGACAGCGCCTCAGAGGTAACCTTTCAGAAAACATTTCCTTCAATTTCCTAATCTCCTTATGGTGGCTGTGCTCTTGTTTTTTCATCAGAACATGAAAAACCTATTCGAAAGACAGTATACATATAGATTTCAGGAACGAATGGTTCACGTCAATACACCGGATGTTCCACCACCCACAAGGGATGCGATCGATCCCATTGTTGACGATGTCAGCGGTGAAATAGGAAATGAATCAAGAGAATCCACGGGAAGTGCGCTCAGAGAAGAAGATGAGCAACCGACTTTTTCCGGAGTCTCACCAAACTCACAGCGGAAAGACGATGAGTCATGGGTGTAGTAGTGATAGTAAAAGGTTGGCTACAGCATCACTGCTGGCGATAACAGCTCCTTGCCATCGCCACGCGTCGATTTGAGCCCTACCCAAGCCGCTTTCGGTTATAAATACGAGTGACGGCACGTGTAACTATGTTGCCAGCTGGCTCTTGAGTATGCTGCGGAAGCAGCGACTGGCTGCTTTCATAGTCCACGACCAGTCGCGCGACCGACTAGTCGCGCGACTGGTCGTGGACTATGAAAGATGCCACTAAGATGGTTCGATCACTTTAGTAGAAAAGCCCAAGAAGGGCCGAAGCAATCATTCTGGGTAGTTATGAAGTACAGGTGAACACCATGTTTGACCTGCTCGCTATGAAATGTTGCTTTCATGCCATCCTTGTTCGGAACTTGCCTTGGTGAATCCGTTATCAGACGGTAATGTAGACCACTCTAAAGAAAAATTGTGCATCATTCTACGAGGCAGGTGGTCGTTATCGATGGCTTCATAGATTCTTGACTATTTCTCTGGATGCAATTACGTCGTCAGTATCTCTAGTTGCTGTATATAGCACCGGTGTTTGTTTATAAACTTTACTGAAAATTCTAAATAGGGAAGTAGTCAGTTTTTTTGGATGATTAACTAACATTTTTTACTAAGTCAAGACCACATGTTACCTCATCTTCCTGACTGTTCCTCATACCCTCAGTGTTGTGATAGTACAGTGTTGCTCTTAAATGGTGGTATACTTGCGGGTGTTTATTTCTCTATTGCTCTTGTTTTCTTTTGTGCAAATCTCTCTACATTTTTATGATAGTTAAATAAACAGTTGTTTTGCTTTTTTGTCTGTTGCCAACTTATAAGCGTAAGCATTGTCACATATTGAATACCAGTTGTACTCCTCTGAAAAGCAGTCAAGCATTCCGACTATGTTACAAAGTTGCAAAGCTGCTTATTAAGGGGAACCCGATGGAAAGCCGGGCTATTGGACTGGTTTCAATACGAAGGCAATTGTTGATAGAGGAGCAGTAATCATCATTATCTCATATTATACCATTAATCATTGTTTATTATTGTCGAGTATTCGGAATGAGTACATCCTTATTCTCTTCTTTAATGGTTGACGGTGAGTCCTGTGATGTTCTATCCTTTGGTTCGGGCTTCGGTAGAGTTTTGGGGAGGGAGTGCGACTGAGGAATGGAGAAGTTGAGGCCGAAAATCCGTAGTTTTATTCTGACATGTCCTAGAGTTCGGAAAGGTGACTAGAAGGAACGAACGGACAAATGGACGTCATATGTGATGTAGAGCTGGCCTTGCATTTCTGTGATGGGCCGTATGAACGACGCCTAGGATAGTTAAAGGCACCGTTAGCAATGAATTTAGGGTAGCCTTTTTTGACGGAAATTGGTAGAACTACTCTAGAATAAAGCGATAACAACGAAAAAAGCGCAAAAAACGATGAGCAAAAAGAATTACAAAGGGTCAAAAAAAAGAGCTGGAAAGGGGGTTGGACGAGTTTTACATTGAAAGAACGGCGGTCAGGGAGTGTTCGGGCGAGTGCACGAAGGCTACGCAATGTGTTGTCTGCAATAGCAGGCAACACATTGCCTCTCTGGCAATTTGCCAAACAGCTAATCGACTTTTCACCAACTTCGCTCCAATGCGAATGTGGTGAAGGACAATTTGAACTCGTAGTCAGCCTAGCGAGGGGCGGAGGGCGACCGTGGATAACTCTCCGGCCCCTTATTGTGCCCTATCCAGCCGTTTTCCGACCTCATTCCTGCACAAATAGTATCACAGGGGGCGTCGAAATCAAACCATGTGCAAATCTCCGGAATCATTTTTTCGTGAACAGTGATCATCTTTAAAGGCACAGCTCACAATAATTTTGGGGCATCCAGTTTTCAACGGTAAAGCCAGGACTCTGATTAGTGCAAGGGTAACGAAGATAACGTGAAAAGCGTCTTATCGAAAAAGATATAGGGCTTTAAGAAGGTTCTCAAACTAGAGGCTGGGCGAGAATGTTACCCTCAGTAGTTGTATGGAAGTGGTATCGAAGTCGAAATTGAAGTAACCTTCATGGTTTCAGGCATTCTTCACAATAATGGCTTCGTTAACAAATTTAATTGGGAACTGCTGCCGTAGAGACGTAGAAAGGGTGAAAGTAAAACAGAGAAAAGCTTCCAACTACAGTCGGAACCCTGCTGCGAAGAAATTACGACATTCACGTGAACATGTGAGCAATCCTGTAAGGGGAACAAAAGAAACAAAGGACGAGAAAAACCTGAAAGGGTCAAAAATCAATAAAATCGATAAGAAACAGAAGCCAGGATCAAGAGAATCAATAGATGAAAAGAAGCCAAAGGGAGGGTCAAAAGAAGACAGCTCTGAAGAACAAGCTGGAAATAACCGAGAAAGCGCGAGAAAGAAATCGGTGAGTCTCTCTCCTCTCTTTCTGTCTGTATTTAAGTCATATGAACACCGTATTCAATTTGGTAAATCACTTCAACAGTCGGATCATCCAGCTAACACTGGGCTACCATCATTGTTATGACAAAGCTGTAATAATCGGCCAACCGGTCATTCCGTCTTTTCGGACTGAGAGGGAAGTGCGAGTAGTATTAATATTTGCCGATGCTTATCCCTGAATAACAGTCTCTTCCTGTTGCTCTTCATTTTGAAAACAATCACCTATTGAAGGCCTAACTGTTAGGTAACCAACCCTTTGACTGGTACTAACAAATGTTGTTAGTGGACAAGTTTATCAGATGACGTTATCAGTGGAACATCTTTGTTCTTGAGATACTATGTCATTAGAAAAGTTTTCCAAATTATTGGCAGTCGGATAAGTTTATTCGCGAATGATATCGAAGAGGGGAAACCGTACCGTAATCTTTCCTTAGTCACGAACCTTCTGGGTAGTGGTTGTACTCTATGGGAAGCAATTGAAATTAGTTTTCTTCCTCTTACAGTGTAGTGCCTTCTATCGATCCTCGTCACTGCACTCACTGTACTTACCTGTCTTATGGAATGCTATAAGTAAATCAAAGGCTCAGAACTAGATCGTAAATACCAAAATCGTCAGGTCACTTGGTAAGTGACAAGTCACTCCATGGCCCTTATCATCTTTTATC